GCAGTGCCTTTTGTTCTTAGGGCTATCTTTGCACTGGCACTTGAAGGGTGTTGTGTCTTGTGCTGGTGATGACAAATCTCATGGACTTAATTCCTAAGAAGGCCTCTGTGTAAATGCAAATACATTTCCCATCTTTTGGACATACCTTGCTTTGTAATGAATGGAAAGTGAGTGAAGGATCTGCTGCTGGATCCTGGTGGGGCTGGTGAGCACAGGAGCAGGTGAGATTAGAGTGAGCACATCTGCAGATGTCAATTTTTACCATGAAGACTTCTCCAGTTGCAAGTTACCTGGGTGGGGTTTATGGGGTTTTTTAAAAACCTGATGAAAGAAGTTAGAAATGTTTCATGCCTCCCATCCTCAGGCTTACACTGGATCATGGTTTTTCCTGTTTGTGGAGCTTTTCAGCACTTTGCTCTGCGGCTAACTATGAGAAATGGAAGCGAAATGAAAGCTTTTTGAGTACTTGTGTGTGTTTTGCACAGCACTTGGAGATGCTGTATGGACATGTGTCAGTGTTCTGTGAAACTGTGTGGTCTCTTGCACAAGGCATGGTCATTCAGCTGCTAATGTGGGCCACAAGTGCTCCTGGTGTGCCAGGCTGGAGTTGTGTAAAACAATAAACACTGCTGGAAAAAGGCCCAGGAAAACTTTTGACTTTGGACACAATTGCTTCCTATTGCAATTAAAGCTGTGTTGCATTCCTTGGCAAAACTTGTGCATAAAAGCCTGTGGGGAGTGCTACCAATGCACTGTTGTTTCATGAGCTGCTGCTGGATCGGGACCTTTCTGCATTTGGGGGTACTTTGGGGCCTTGGGATGACTTTGTGTTAGTGGGAGAGCTCTTGTGCCATTGCTGGTGCTGTCTGAGAGAGATGGGTCAGTTCTGCTTCTTGGGACAAACCCTGGCTCTTGTCCTGAGCCTGGCACCTTTCTGTGCTTGGTGAGAAACGTGCAGCCTTTTGCTTTGGAGGCAATTGTGGTTTTCTTAACCATTCATCACTATCAATTACAATTGTTCATAGCTCTTTAATTAATGCAGTTACTGTGTAATCATTGACTTTTTTCTTGGTTATTTGATTTCCTATGTTTTGTATGAATTAATTATGTTGGCATTGATGTAAATTAGTTGCCATTTATCCTGTGTGATACTGACCATGTAACTGATCTAAGCACTTAACATTTCTCAGCCCTATACTGGCAAAGAAAAGCAAATGTAAGTTATTCTTTTGAAACTACAATAAGTTTTAAACAGTGATGCATCATCACTTTTCACACAAACTGGGGATTTTTCTGTTTCATTTCATCTTTTTTTTTTTTTTAAACATAATAAATACTGTTAGTGGGCTGAAGATCTAAATGGAGACTCTCCATGGAAATCCCCAGAAACAAGTTATGTTTATTTGATATTTGAAACAAGTTGTGTTTTCCTGTGGAAGCTGCAGTCCTGCATTATGCTGAGACCACCTCTCTGAGGAGCCCCTGTCTAGTTTGCTTTTCAGCATTTCCCTACAGTTTCTGCCCTTCCTGAAATTTCCATCTCTTCCATGAGGCTCTTCAATGAATGAGTATTTAAATTACTTTTTCACCTTAAAGCCCAAACTGGCTTGTTGCTATAAACTGCTGAAGTGTTGCTGTGGCCAACTTGTTTCACCATCCTGTGGCATAAGTTTGAGACCTGGCTTTTAGCAAGTCAAATTCCAGCTACTGTATGTTCTTTATGCATTAAACAAACAACAGACACCAAACTTAGTAGATACACTTGTCCAGATCTCTGATACTGGAAATGAGCAGTGCTAGAGAAGACAACACAGCTTATGTTATGCAGTAATATATAATATTAAATCTAATAAAGAATAAATAACATTAAATTAATAAATATAAAGACATGAGTAATTTTATAGGATAAATTTTTTTTAGCCCTGCTCTTGAAAATATTTAGCAATATTCTAACAGCTGAGTACAGTCTAAGATTGACAAGTTCCTGGCAGATCTGGCTGTTTGCCTCCTCTCTGCATTTGCTAAGTTCAGCCCTGGCCAGGCCTTGCTGATGGGCTGTGCTGTCACAGGAAGGGGACCAGGACACCAGATGCTTCATCACAGCTCCAGTTTATTGAAGAAAGCATCAAACACTTACACAGCAAATAATAAGCTATGAATATTCTGTAAGCCAAGCAATCTATTGGTTAAACCATACCATCAACTCTTCCTCATTCCTTTGGGCCTACATTCTCTACTTCTCACATCTCGCTGTCCATTTCTTTATCATACCCAGCCAGGCCCAAGGACACACTATCTTGCAGGTGCAGGATTTGGAATTAGCCATGGTCTTGTACTTTTCCAGTCTCCAGTCAGCTGAATTCCCAACTGCTGTCAGCTCAGTGCTTTGTGTGACAATGCTCTGAGAGTGAGGATGGAAAGGTAGCTGGAATCTTAATGCAGGATGAATGTCTCTTAAAGGAGCAGGGCTTTCATTCCCAGTGTGTTTCTTCTTTCCTGCACTCCTCATTGCTAGCTGGCCCTGCAGTTGTGCACAGAGCTGCTCCCAGGCTCACTGCCCCACTACAGAAAGCAGCCTTTTCTCCCCTTGGTGGTGTCTTTGAGCACCAATTCTCAGGCATGAATATTTTCCTAGATGGATTTCTCTGCAGCTGCTTCAACTCTGATGTGAATTTGTTATCCCAGCTTTCAATAACAGATGTGTACATGCTAACCAAAAGGTGTGATAGCAGCTGTCTCAAATCTTAGAAGAATGTTGGGGTGTGCCATCAGGGCCTGGAGAGGCATTGTCCTTTTGGTCAGAAGGAACCTCTGAGACTTGGCTCTGCTCATTCCTGCTGCATTTCTTGCTGCTGTTACTTGTACAAGTTGTGGGACCTTTTCTGATCCAGAGCTGTTTCCTTCAGCACCACTTACAAACCCTTTAGAGAGCTGCCTCCTGTCCTGTGGATGTCAGAGCAGGCATTTCTGCAGGAGTTGTGCAGCATTTCACCTGATTCCCTGCTGCGTGCTACTAGGTTGTTTTTCATAAAATATGCAAGCCGTGTTTCAGATTTGACTTACATTTCTGTGCGTGTTTAAAAAATTGCCTTTTTTTTCTAAGTAGTAGTTTATGTATTTATTTGTAAGTAGAGTTTATGTATTTATTTGTAACATCTGATTTGAGCTGTACAGAGAATGTACAGAACCTGTAGAGAGCTGTACAGAGGTGTACAGAACCTGTACACAGGTGCTGAAATTTCAAATGTTAAAAAAAAATTCCCTATCCCTGTGGGCAGATTGATGTCATAGAGGTAAAACACCCTTTCAGTGGTTAAATGGTGGGGGAGAATTTTCTCCCGAGCTCTCCCTGTGAAGCCCATTACCCTCATTCTTTGACTTCTTCCCTTTTAAAATGTGCATTTGTAGCAGAAGTTTTATGTCCTGTTGTGTTGGTTATGTGATCAACCCAGCTCTCCCTCTCACCAAGCAGGAACTTCTCTCTGCTGCTGTTTGCTGGAACAGAAAACAGTTCAGCTCATTGGACAGGGGTAAAGCATGCCATCACTTTTGGGCATGTTAAGAGCATGTTCTGAAGGAGAATTGTTGTCTTAACCTTTCTTTGTGATTTTGCTGTTGGGGAAAGGTGAGCATTGTGTACACAGGGAGCTGCATTAATGCAGTGTTCTGTACTGCTGAATGTGCTTAGTCTGAAGCACAAAATCAATAAATCTTTTCAGCCTTTGACTCCCCAAAGGATTTTCTTCTCTCTTGTGGTGCTGTAGAGGACACTGGTTTAGGTGACCACTTTGTCCTGAGTGGCAATTCATTTTAGTTTCCTGATGGGAAAAAAAGAAAAAAAATATATATAAAGATATTAAATGCTTGAAAACTAACATATGAAACTGCAATCTTAACCTTAACTTGCTGCCTCCTGGCTGCATTCATTTCAGTGCACACAGAAGCATGACCATGTTCCCATTACTATTTTCTGCTTCCCCATGAGAAAACAGCAGTAGGTGTTCATTGAGGGGCAGCTTTACTGAAATTATGGCAGAGACCTATCTGAAGGCTTCTGGCATCTCTTTAAGCTAATTCCTCTCTGCTGTTACTGTCTCAAATGTCATAAAGCATCACAGCAGATTGAAATCAGTACACCTGATGGTTTTGCAGTATTTTTGCTTTAGAGATTACTTGAATTCCTAATTAATTGTTCTTCTGCCTGCAGGTCTGAGTTTGGGTAGGGAAGTTAATGAGTGAGTTTGTGTTTGAGCAGCCTCCCCTTTGTGGTGTGCTTTGGTTTGCAGAGCAATCCCACAGTAAGCACACATTAACAGGTACAGAGAAAGGGAAACACAATTTAGCTACAAATTAACAGTTTCATTCACAGTGCTGGGGAGCTCTAAAGTGGTGTGGGGCACAGAACTGCTTGCTATTATTTTGTTTTGGGTTTCTTTCTTTCCAGTTGCACAAGGAGTCTCCCTGTCTTTAGAAGCATGGAAAGGCCCATGGGGATGCATAATGATATGGCAGAGCTGCTGGGTTTGTTTTCTTGCTTCCTTTCTGCTCCAAGGACACTCTTCCCTCTGTCCCACAGGACTTTTGGTGTTCTGCTTTCACTGAGAAACTTCTGGGCTGATGTGTTGGTGGAAAAGTTATTTGGAGATTTGAACTGGCAGAAGATGTGTGTGTGAAGGAGCAGTGCAGAGTGCTGCCAGTTTGGTTTGTCCAGAGCTCTGGTGTGTGTGTGTGTATTCCTATATCCAGATCCTCTTCAGATTAAATGTGCAGTGATGCCAGAATCACTTGGGTAAATTCAGCTTTAATACACATTTGTCTCCTATGTAATGACTGACTATTATCTTCAACCAAAATTAACAGCCCCACTTTATAGGAGTATTAGCTATAAATCTATTCACACCACCTTTCCATTTCCATGCAGAGGAGCTTCCAAATGAGTCCAACATCTTATGTAACTGCACATTACTTCTGACTAGTAACTGTTTTTTTAATGTTTCTAGGGATTTTCTTCCACGAGGTTCTGGAATTGTGACAAGACGGCCGTTGGTCCTGCAGCTCATCACTGCCAAAACAGGTAATCTCTTCCTCTTTTTGGGTCAATGCCTGGACAAAGGGCTGATGTACTTCAGCAGGAGAAAAACTTCTCTAAGAAGACATGAGCAATGTGAAGGGAGATGCCACCAGACTGTCTGGAACAAAGGGCTGCTGCTCCAAAATGGTGTGTTCAGGACCAACTCATCCCATTTCCCATTGTGGGAAAGTGATAATGTCTAAATCCTGGAGCACATGGTGAATTGAACCACGTCATTACATGCAATATGCTTTGGAAATTAGCTTTGATTTATTCATTTCTTGGTGAGCTTTGCAGTTGTATTAGTTAGCACACCAAAATTGCTGCACTTCTGCCTTTAGCTCTTGCTCCAGTGCACACAGATTTGATTCCACTCAGGCTGTTTTCAGAAGTTGTCTTTTTTGGTTGGGCTCACTGCACTAAGTAGAGCAGAAGGTGGACTGGGGGAAAACAAGGGTTCTGTGTATTTGTCTGATCAAAATTAGAAATCTTTTTGGTTGTACCACTAAGCTATGGGACATAATGAGATCTTTCATGAGAATTCACCACTCTGTACTCTTCCACAGGGCACTTGATCTGCTGGGGTGTAGCTCAGCTCCCTGGCATAGCTAAAAGCAGTTATGGTTCACCATCATTCCAGTTCTTGGTGTTGTTACTTCTAAACCAATGTAAGCAACAAAATTCTCTGGTTTGCTATTTACTTCTGCTCAAAACAGTAAAAAAAGAAACAAAATAACATCCAAACCAGCACTGAAACAAAAAGTGGTCTTTGAATTATGTACCATGATGAAACTGGGGAAAAAACCAAAATTATAGCTGCCTGTAAAAGTTCAGTCTGTCCCTGTGTGTGAGATGTAATGAAGTTTTTGTGTGTATTTCTTTCCTAAAGCTCTTGACAGTGTTCAACAGGGAGGCAGACTGCAGTCTGCTTGGGCTTCAGGGTATTTTCTGAATTACTGCTTTTAAAATGCCATCATCATTTCAGTGCCTCTGTAAAATTTTCCATGCTGTTTACACCGTGGAAGAGAAAGGAAAAACAGTGGAATTCAGGATTTCTGCATGCTCAGCTTAGAACCTTTGCAATTGTCAAGTGTGTCATACACTTATAGTGCTTTATATATGGTATTTATTAACATTTGTATATAGATCTATATTTATGTATATATAACATTTATACATATATGTTAATACGTTGGAGGAATGAACTCTTGCCATTTCTGCAGCTCTGGCTTTTGGCCTGTGACAGATGATGCAGAAATGCCTGAATGAGGCTTAGGTGTGGAGAGTCTTCCTCTGACTTTTCCAGCACCACACAAGAGCAGAAGAAACAAAAGCTTTGAGCTTTTTGAATCCTTCCAAAAAGGCAGAACTGAAGGGACCTGTCTTATATCTGACCTCAAGTGGTTAAATATTTATTCATTGACACCCATCCTAAACTTACCCTGACTGCTCTGTGTTGACCTTTTTATAAAATTCAGGAGAGCTGAGTTTCAGCCTAATTTTATGTTTCCTGGATGTCAAGGTTTATTTCTCCCTTTGGGAAAAGCTGTGAAGTTCTTGTTAGGGATTAAATGCCAAGACCTTTAAAATCCAAGCTTTAATTATTTTGTTGCTTTCTTTAAACTTTGTTCCACTGTTGTTGTTTTTGATAGTGAAATTCCAAGTAACTTTATCTTTTAAGTCACCTTTATCTTTGTGAACTAATTTTAAGAAAAGAAAATAAAGAAAACTGCTTAGAGAAGCACAGTGTTCTTTTACAGGAAGCAGATGCTGGGCTGATTTCTGTGAAGCCCATAATTATCCAAAATGTTACAGAATAATTAGAGGGCTGGATCAGCTTTTTGTTACTGTAGTAAACAAAACTAATTTTTAATCCTAGGATTTTTCTTGAGGTTTAAAAGTAACTGTTTTTAATTTTGGAGTATTCCTTGGGAGAGAGGGGGCACTTTCTATGCAGGCATGCACAGATGACTACAAGATACTTCAGCAACATTTTGGAAGTGGCTGAGAATAATTTTGGAATGTGAATTTGATTGACAAAGGAGGTTAAAGCTTCATTTGAGCCACTGCAAGAGATGAAATCAAAGTCAGAGAAAGCTTTGCCCATCCATTATTGGGTCAGGCAGGAATTGGCTGGGAGGGGTTCCCAGGGATCCTCCAGCAGGGGTAACATTGAACAATTCCATAGTCAGAAATGCAGCTCATGACAGATGTGCAATATAAATATATATATAATTATTTTTTAATTTTGTTTACCTATTTTAAAAGTTCTGTGTAGTTTATACCAAGCTATTTCTCAGTGACCTTGGCCTCCTTTAGTCACTGCCATGTTTTGGTGGTACCAGTACAATTCCTAAATGGCTTTATGGCATTTGCACTCCACATTCATGCAAATTTGTAAGTAACGAGTCAGTCTTTAATAGTTTTGAGTATTTTTCTCTGAGTTTGATGTGAGAAATTGTCTTTAAGATGCAAGTGTTGGTGCACAGATGACCTGGGATGAGAATTTCAAGTGTGCTTCTGAGCTGGTGGGTTTTTCTTCCTTTGAGTTGGTGTTCCTTCATTTTTACATTAAAATATATTTCTTCAACATTCTAAGTTTTTGTTTCACCTTTGAGTATAGTTCTTGGTGGTTTTTTACCTAACACAGCAGTAAGATTGAAATAGTTTTTGTTGGAGTTAAAGATATTTTAAGTGATGCTGCTGAGTAAGCTTTAGAAGGTAATGACTTGAAATTTCTGAGATCTTGAGAGATGAGTTGGTGTTTTTGTTGGTTTTTTGTTTGTTGTGGGTTTTATTTGTGGTTTATTTTTTTCTTTCTGCTGCCACACATTCTGTGTAACCTTGGGCAATCTGTTCTTCTTGCTGTGCTTTCTTCTGCCTCTGCAGGTGAGATCATGACTAGATTCTGAGGGATTAGGTAGAATATCGTTTTTGAACAGCAGTGCCAACAAAAAATATGTGAAACCTTTGTAGTAGGTCTTCTCTTTGTTAAAAACCTATTGCCTGCTGTTTAAATCCTGGTATTTATTTACATCTGAAATATCCTGGCTCTAGGAGAGTTATTTTCTTTATTTTGATAACTGGTTTTGGAGCAATTTCAGATTTTCTTCTTGCTTCAGCAGATTAACAGATTTTGAAATTCTTTGCTGAGGTGGACATTTGTTAGAGAAATGAGTCATATTTACAATACCCACATTTGAGTTCTGTTAATTAGAATACCCAGTGGAAATTAAATCATACATTTCAAAAGACATTCTGATTTTTTCTGAAGTCTTGCAGATGCTCTTTTCTGTTGAGGTTGTAGAGCTTTAATCCAAATTTCGTGTATTGCAAGGCTGCTCCTCACACATAACCATCTTCTGTTGCCATCTGGTGGCAAAACCGGTCCTTGAGCAGAAAAAGAAATATAAAAAGAGTTTAGACTGGTTATTTCAGCTAACACACATGATCTTAGAAACTTCATCAGATGGCAGGCATTTGGAGGTCTTCTTTCAAAAACTGGGAAATGCCACAGTACAAGCAGCAGAAAAGGACCAGACACTTTACAGGGAGGACAGGCAGACATTCCTGGATCCCACTCTCATTCAGATGATGAACAGGGATGCTGGAGAGATCAGTAAAATTCCTGAGCTGTGCACCCCAAAAGCTAAAATGTGCCACCAGCAGGAGGAAAAGATGGCAATGATCCTTTTTGAGCTAAGGAAAGGCTCATCCCCCAAAAAGCACTGACATCCTGGAGGAGAGACAGTGCTGCTGCTCTGAAACCTGAATTGAAGCTTGTGGAAGATTGCACCTGCAAATCTCCCAGTTGTTGCTTGATCTGAGCTCATCCAGGGACTGCTGAGATCAACCACTTCTCTATCAGGAGCATCAAAATGGGATTTGAGCTTCAGCTCATGGTGGGACAAATTAATGGCACCCACAAATACTTGGTTTTACATGTGGGTTTGCCTGGAACTTTGTTTGCTTGATCCCAGATTGATGCTCAGTTACATTAGGAAAGATGGAATCCCCTCATTAAGATTGAGAAGGGGCTCTATATCTGCTCATCTTCATAAAGATGATAAAGGAAAGTGACAGAAGAATCAATCAAAGATCACCCTTAAGAGAAAGAAATCTGTAAGTAGCTATTAATGAACAATCTGAAAGCTATTTGAGATGAACAGCAGCCAACACAAACTCATCAAGGGAAAGAACCTTGTCATATCAGTGCAATAAATGTTTTTTATTACAAGCTAGTAGGCTTGTAAATTGAGGTGAGGTGGTATCTTACCTTGGCTACAGTAAAGGTTTTGAAATTATCTTCCTTTTTTTGAAAATATCTTGGAAAACAGGATTTAGCAAGGGCTCCTGTGAGATGGATGCACAGCTGTTCAGAGTGGAACACCCCTCCAGGTCATGTTCAGTATTTTGTATTGCTGGTGGGATGACAGAATGGAGTGTGTTTATTATGTTTGGCAAATACAAGCAAGAATATGAAAGGAACTGGTGGGGAGAATTGGAATTCAAATTGCTTGCAAAAGAAGAAAAATATCCCCAAAGTAAGAAGCAATTCAGCTGGGATCTGGTTTTTTGCTGTACTGAAAGGCTGATATTTAAGAAAAAGGTTGGGTTTCAGAAAAGGACCTGGTGCTCACGGTGAATCTCTGACAGAGCAAAACTCACTGATGTCAGGCTGTTGTGAAATACAGGAGTAAACTTTGTACAAGATGCAGCACAGAAATGCAGTCCTACAACATTCTGCTTTTCCTCAGTGCTGGGAAGGAGAGAGCTCTGGTGAGAGCTCTGCCTCTGTAAAATTAGGAAAAAATGCCTGGAGGAAGGCTGTGTGAAGGCTTGGAACTACAGAAAGCATCATCCATAGGAGATGGTTGAAAGAACAGAGGGAAATTCCTTCTACAAACAAAAACTTCCAAGGTTGTATAAGATTATTGCATCCAAAAGAATGCTTTTCCTCCTCTGGTACAAGTGTCTGCCCTTCTAATGAGCCATTTCACTGCTCCTGAGTGTGACCTGCTATCTTTGGTAGTTACTTTATCAAATATGCACTGGTTTCCATGTTTCATATCTTCTGCTATGATATTCTTGTCATTCTCTGCATTGCCAGGATTTTTTATTTTAGCTTCAGGAAATGCCAGGGTACTTCTGTTTCTTAGAGCCTTTCTGCTTGAAGGTTAGCTGTGGAATAACTCAGTTTTGAGTATTTCATCTTCAGCTTGTTAGAAAAGCTCCAGAAATGGCAAAGCAGAAGAGGGATTGTAGGTTGGATAGGACAAGGGCTTTTGATACTTCCTCTCTTTTCAAGGAAGCACCATTGAATGATTTGCCATGGTCCAGATTCACTGAACTGCATTTACTTTGTTCAGAAAAAGCTGTCCATCATCAAAGAAAAGGTGAAGTACTTTGCTGATGTTTATTTGCTTGTTTTTAAAACACCCTCTTGAAATCACTCTTTTGGAAAGAGTTCTGAGGCTTTGGGAGATGCTTTATTGAAGGTAAAATGTGTTGTTCTTGAGTGATACCTCCCCAAGGGGCAGTAATAGCAGATACTCCTCCTGTGCTGCCTGCATTGAAAATGCTTGCTACAATTTAATGAACCACTTTTTGGAACACTTTCAATCCCTTTTGAGTGCTCTGCACTGGATACTGCCACCAACTTGGAGCAGCTCTGCTTGAAATCAGTTTGGGAGCAGCTCTGAATCCAGGGCTCTGATCCTGGTGAATTCCTGACCTCTAATAACAGATTATTCTGTACAGAGTAAAATCTTTGGGCTTTGTAAGCTCTTGGGCTCAGCCTGATGTGGATCAAAGATGTTTTCCAAAACATCCCTGATGGACTCCTAAGGGCTGATCCTTGTCATTGGCTCTCTTTAGCTTAGACACAAATTTATGAAATATCTCAAGTGTTTATAGAATTTAAATAGTTTGAGAATAGCAATAGCTGTTTAGTGCTCATAACAATATATTATTGTGCTAGATTAAATCATAAAGGCTAACAGAGATATAACTGACAGGAAGAATAAGGGGCATTTTAAAAGATGTGATATCATACCACTAGTTTGGATGATTTGTCTAATTTAATCATAACTGAAGAGATAATTAATCACTTGTGGATGCACTGAAGGAACTATGCTCTGGTAGCCTTTTAATTTTATGTTATCCAAGGTGCTTTTAATGAGTCTGGGGAAAAAAAAAAGACTTATTTTACATGCAAGGACTGTTTTAATTTTGTATCTAATTGTTCTTTCTCTTAATGTAACTTCAGTTTTATACCAAAAATCCATGTCTGAAGCTATATGTCAAGTAGGATCACTTTTTCTTGCCTAGCTTTATGTCCATTCCCACAAAACCATAAATAAACCATTTTCCCAGTGTTCTTAGCATGAAAGCTGGAAAGTGAAGATTGCATTAAAGCTTGTGCTTCTGCAGCCTGGCTGAAGGCATCACTGCCAAGGGCAGGCTGAGGGCTGAAAGGAGCAGAACAAAGCTCTGCTTGTCCCTTGCAATTCTTATTCCAGGTTAGGAACCACCCTGCAGTTCATTCCTTCAGCCCTGCTGGCACCACAGATGGCACCAGGAGCGAGGAGATTTGATGAACATGAACCCAGCTAAAAAAGAGCAAACATTTTAATGTGGATTGCTTTGAAGCCTTGGCAGATAGTGAATTTATTAATGAATGCAGAGTGGGAAAAAGAGAAAAACCTTCCTTGGCTACTGAGTCAACTGATCACAGCTGGGCACCAACTATTAATTACTGGATTTAGAAATAATTTCCTGAGAAAATCATGATCCACTATGAGAAAAAAATAACTAAGAGGAATATGTATATTTTATGCCAGGGGCTGTGCATGAAGAGGTGGGATAAAATATGAACCACTTGCCAGCTCTTTTTTTTTCATTAGGTATCTATTTGCCAGCCTTGAGATGACAAATTTTACAAATGTAAATTCTCAACTGAGATATTTTCTTTTGTGCATCATGTTATTTTTATTTTTGAAATATTTGAATATTCCCTGCTTTGTTTCTTTAATAAATGGTGGATAATGAAACAAAACTCCCATTCATTATCATTTTGCTGCTGGAGCTGAAAAAAGGATATAAAATAAGGTGCTTATTTTTAGGTGCTCTCTTGTTTTTAAAATAAATGATGTATTTTTGTTTGAACAAGAGTGAGTTTCCCTGTTGCTCACACACTGAATCTGGAGGGATATTGATATTTTAGGACAGACAGGTGGGTATTTGATGTTTTCCCCTGCACTCTGTCCTTTTTTTCTGTCAGTTTGCTTTAACTATTTATTGTAGTTTTGACTATTGTTACTTTTTGAACAGCTCTGTCATTAATAATAACAAAGTGACTTCTGGGGAGCCAGCTTCAGTACTGACCCATAAGATCCTCTTTTAATGCATATTCTCACATTTGGTGTTCTCAGCTGCTGTTCTTTGAGTACCAAGCAAGCTCTTTGCTCTGGGCTTGTTACCAAGGAACATTTTCTGGGGAAGAAACTTCTGAAGGGAGCTTTGGGATCAGGCCTCCATTGCAGGATGAAATGAACAATAATGTGCACAAATCTTTTCAGCCTTTCCTACAACTCTGACCTGCTGGGGACAGGATGTGAGCTGGTGTCTGGAATTGGTGTTTTTGTTATCATTTCTGATGGCAGCTTCACTATGTAGATAAACCTTTGTGTTCTGCTTTGAAGGAAGAAACTCCAGGTTCAAAATCCTGGGATGTGCTTTTGGTTATGCAGGCAACCAAAAAGGTTGCAATGATTAGTATCAGTATTTGGATTCAAAAGTCAAAACAGGGACAAAGTGTCAAGTTTGGGTTTAACAAATTTTCTGGTTCCTCTTCAATGCTCTTCTAAGGTAAAACAGCAGCTTGTTTGAAATGAAAGGCTTGGGAGTTATTTGTGTTGTCCCACTTCAGCAAAATCACAGCTATTTCTATGGACATTTTTGCCAACTTGTAAACATCATTCATATTTAGACTACAGGACACTTCTAGGAAATTAGAAGCTGTGTTAAAAAGATTACAGTGTTTTTAAGTGATCTTGTTTCATTTTGAACTTGTAAAAATTTACAGAATTCCTTTACTAAATTTGTGTGTAACATGGGATGTAAGTTTTTGAAGCAAATGCTAAAAATCTTTCCTGTTACAGAATTTGAATTACTTTTCCATTTAGGATGTATTACAAGCAAATGAGATCAGATGAAAACTCAATCTCATTCTTAATCTGTTCCCTATTCTATTACTGTAAATGGCAGCTAATTGAAAGATTCAATTGTTCCAGAAGATGATGTGCTGAAGATAGGAGTAGTAAATCATATCCATTCAACTTGACTTTTAACTGAGCCTTTCTTGTTGAGGGCTGGTTTTCATCTGTGCAGTCATAATAATCTTTTCTGATAGCCATGGTGACCAACTTTTGTGCCCACACATCTGAAGAACACTGGGGGCTTGAAAGTGGGTGTGCAAGTCAATGAGCCTGTGAAATACAGAGTTGTTGTTGGTATTCTTGACAGAGTATGCTGAATTTCTACACTGCAAAGGGAAGAAATTTACTGATTTTGATGAAGTTCGTCAGGAAATTGAAGTTGAAACAGATAGAGTGACAGGAATGAACAAAGGCATTTCTTCAGTTCCTATTAATTTAAGAATATATTCTCCACATGGTAGGTAAAATCATTCTACTTTACATTTCTGTCATATAAACATATTATGGAGCTCATCACCTTTTGTATCTGCTCTTATTGCCTGATCTGGGCTGGAAAAGGTTTGAGGTTGAGTTAGTAAAGACCAGTAATGGGACTTGTAACAAAACTTTTTTTGGCACTCTCCAGAGGAATTCCCTGATCTAGAAAGTCTCTGTGTCTCCTGCCTTACTGAAAATTTATTGCTTGCTGTCACTAAAAATATATTGAGACAGTAACAGTGTTTGAAGTTGCTTTCTGGTGACGACCCCCTGTATGTATCAAAGTGGTTTCCTCTGGCTGCCATCTGCCCAGCTTAATGAAGACAATCTAGAGAAAATGTTTTCCATTGAAATTGTCTTTGATATAGGACAAAAGTGGTGTGTTTGACTGAAGCATGATTTTTCTAGCTGCAGAGAAGCTCAACTAAATCCCCTGCCTCAAAGCTTGTTTGTTGAACATGCTGACTCCAGGAGAAAATTTCCTACCTATTGCTCTTGCTTTGCTTTATTAGGATCAATCTTTTAGTTCAGCCATGGTTGTCTATATTAACCAGACTCCAACTACACTTCTGGTATTTCCTTCCTAGGAATTGCATTTTTGTCATTTAGCTAAAGGATGCCCCTGGTTGGCACTGTGGCCCTTGCTAGGGAAATCATACCAAAGCAAACCAGGTTTTCTTAATAGATTAATATTTTAATCTTTCTGACTTTTCTGAAGATGTTACAGATTAAAAAAAAACCCAACAAAAAAACCTCCCAAACCAGCAATATATCCCCAAGCCCCTTAATAACAGTTTTGCTATGTAAGTTAGGCTAACTATTGATTGTTTTTTGAGAATTTCTTAATTACAGACATGATTGAAAACATGGTCAGAGACACTATTTTAATAAATAATCCAAACAATTGTTTTGCTTTATTTGGAGGATGCAATGAGAGTGATCTGTTGCCTGTGCTCCTGTTGTTGGACTAAGCTCAGAAAACCATGTTAATTTGTCTTAGAGCCCTCAAGGATATTTGATATGAATATCAATTTATACCAGTTGCAGTATTTTAAATATTAATATTAAATAGTACTAATAAATCCAGAGATGTAAGACCAATGGGGGAACAAGTCTTTGCAGATTGTCAGGCATTTTGTTTGAACTGTTGACAACTGTTGACCTATTAATCTGCCTGTGCAGGTGGTTCTGTGGGGTTTTATGTGACCAAAACTTGTGTGCGGCCATGGCTGTGTTGTCCCCTTTGCCATGTGTGATGCTCTAACCAGTTTTATGCTTCATCTTGTCCATGCAGTCTTAAGCCTGACCCTTATTGATTTGCCGGGAATCACTAAAGTGCCAGTGGGGGATCAGCCGCCAGACATCGAGCAGCAGATCAGAGACATGATAATGCAGTTCATCTCCAGAGAGAACTGCCTGATCCTGGCTGTGACTCCAGCTAACACTGACCTGGCCAACTCAGATGCCCTGAAGCTGGCAAAGGAGGTGGATCCTCAGGGTAAGCAGGATTGAATGTCATCACTTTTTGTTCTCAAGTGTAACAACATAGTTGAAAACAACAGACCAACTCTTGTAGGAAATTCTAGAATTTATAAGATGTCATATAGATGTCTGTTTACATTTTCATACAATCTTCAGCATCACAATATCACAGTTAGCTCAGTATTGTTTAGGTAATGTTGCTGTAAATGAGTTTTAAAATATTGTCACTATCACTTATAAGCTAGTGGAGCAGTGCTGTCTGTGACTGTATTCACAGGGGTCTGAGGATGAGGGAAGAGACAGAGATCTGACTCCATATTTCAGAAGACTTGATTTATTATTTTATGATATATATTACATTAAAACTATACTAAAAGAATAGAAGAAAAGTTTTCATCTCAGAAGGCTGGCTAAGAATAGAATAGAATCAGAAAGAATGATAACAAAGGCAGCTATCTCAGACTCTCTGTCTGAGCCAGCTGGGCTGTGATTGGCCATTAATTACAAACATCCAACATGAGCCAATCACAGATACACCTGTTGCATTCCACAGCAGATAATCATTGTTTACATTTTGTTCCTGAGGCCTCTCAGCTTCTCAGGAGGAAAAATCCTAAGGAAAGGATTTTCATGAAAAGATGTCTGTGACACTTATCTTTGAATTTTTGTAGTACTGGGCAAAATAGGGGATGGTGCTGATGGGATTTCTGGATACTGACAGCATAAATTTTATACAGTCATATTGTAGGGATGCTGAGCTTTGTTAAGGAGTTTTGAGGAACACATTTCAGCACTTGCAGTTATGTTCCCTGCTTTTCCAGACATATGACTTGGATTGGAGCTGTTATTGTGTGATAGCTTTGAGAAGGGCACAGATATGTGGTAACATAATTGTAAGGTGTAATTGTTCTTACGACTCTAAATAATTTTTCAATAACTTTTTCCTCCTGCTTCCACTCTGGTCAGGCCTTAGAACCATTGGTGTGATCACAAAATTGGATCTGATGGATGAAGGAACAGATGCAAGAGAAGTTCTAGAAAACAAACTCCTCCCTCTTCGTAGAGGTGAGAGTGTTCACTTGCCTTTACTCTTTGCAGTCCAGAAAGTGCTTTGGGTGAGGATGGTGTTTGGGAGCCCTGGAGATAAATCAAAGGTTATGCTGGACTTGATGTGTTCCTTGTTTTGCAGTTGTGTGTTCAGCAAATATAAAGGTGGCTGTGCTAAAAATGTCCTTTCTGGACCTGGAAAATCCTTGCTTCCTCTGGAATATGCAGTGTAATATCAGCACATCTCATTAGCCAATATTTTTCTTTTCTGGCAGGTTCCTTGTAACAAAAAAAATGTTTTTTTTTCTTTGTATATGACAGAAGGAAGCACCAGAGCTTGGTAATCTCACTGGAAACCAGTTTTGATCCTTGCCAGGAATATTCCATGTTCTGGCAGCTACTGCCACATTTGCTCATTCTGTTAAAAATATCAATAATTTTGATTCTAGTTATTATTTATTGATAATTTTCTATCTCCTCCCATGGAACAAGTTGGTCCAGCAAATGAGAAGAATTTTTTTTTTTGTATTTTGTTAATGTCATATCATTTATCTGCATAGACCTCTGTGTGTATTTCAGTTTTATTTTGGATTTTTGTTTTTTTGTTTTGGTTTCTTTAGGCTTCACCAGAATTTCAGATATTCTCTGTTTGAATTGGTGATCTAAAAGGAAGTCTATTTACTATATGTAAACAGAATGAACAATTTAGGCAGTGTTAAGGTTACTATTCTACTAAACATGTTCTGAAATGCCTGAATTGGAAAGTTTTGTTTGAGCTGAGTCAGCCTGGTTCTATTTAAGATGAATTCACTGGTTCAGGCAATATCTGCATTGATTTACCCATTGGTTTGGTCTTGTTTTAGGTTATATTGGTGTTGTAAACAGAAGCCAGAAGGACATTGATGGGAAGAAGGACATAAAAGCAGCTCTTCTAGCAGAAAGGAAATTCTTTCTTTCCCACCCATCCTACAGGCACATGGCAGATCGGATGGGAACACCCTATCTCCAGAAAGTTCTAAACCAGGTAAGACCTGAAACCTTTGTTTCAGCTTTGTAATGATAGGGCCAATATAAAAACTGTATTAAAATTAAATTGGTCTCTAAACCTCACTCATCCTTTCCTGCTTTCAGTGGTTTTAATTTGCACAAGGTAAAAACAAAGCTGCATATTGCATGTAGATACAACAGCTTGCTGTGAGTTGTAGTTTCTGACTTTTGCTGGCAGTTCTGCACTTCCCTGTTCTTTAGAATACTGAATATGAACATCAAAACCAAGATTTGCTTCCCTTCCTGGAGGTATACCATCTTATTCTTCAATTGTTACATTTAACTTGTCAGTTGCCCAGTATTTTTGGTATTTCTGCAAGTCAAGCTTGATACTGTTTTTTGCAGCTCACTGTCAAATTGCAGCTTTTCCTCTGGAACAGACAAAGACGAGGTCAGCCTGGCTTTGTCCATTTTGGACAGCAGCTGGAAACAGCTGGAATGTTCCTGCTTAAAGTAGAAAACTAAATGGCTGCTCTGATTAGTTTTTTGCTGCAGTGACTTTGCAGCTGTAACTGCAAAACCAGGCTATGAAATGCACTGAACTTGTTCAAAAAGACTACTAATGCCATTTATTTGTGCTTCAGAGCTCAAGTCTTCATCAGGATGCGAGAAATTCCTTGTACCATGACTTTCTTTCTGTGTTTAGAATTTTTGCCTTGTTTTACATCTTGAAAGTTTAATCCATATGTCTCAGTTTTGAGACTGAAACACAAGCTGCACATACCTTTCAATGTCTTGTGTGTCCTGACTCTTTCTGTGCTGTTAACTTTTTTGAGATCTGTTTTCAAAATTTACCTACTTCAGTAGGAACTGTTGATCTTCTGTTGCTTTTACTGTGTGTAGAATGTTATATATGGGAAGATCTACATAAGTTCTGTCCTCAAGATATTGGGGAACTTTTGTTTTTCAGGTAATATTTCAGTTTCTTTGTATCCACAAGGTGGTGCTGCAGGGAAACTCCAGCTTTTGATTTTGTGCTTGTCAATCTGCTCAGCAAGTTGAAACTTGAGTTGATATCTTTTGGTGTATGACAATTTAAATGTACAGCTTGTCTGGCTGGGGTTGGGAGGGGGTTTGGGGCATAGTGGAAGAAGTCTGGCTTGCTTTTAATTGAGGAATGTGTACAATACCTGAGAAAATTACAGCACAGGTAAGTCATAGACAGTGCTGTCCTAACATATTAAAACATATATATATATATGTGTGTAGAAACATGCTGTGAGTGCTCAGATTATCTTTCTTTCCCACTTTTCCTTGTGGCTGTAGCAGTTGTTGTGCTGAATTAATATGTAGTGAATTATGAAACACCCTTCAAAAAGGCAGCAAAATGGGAGTGTGGCATCAGCACAGAGGTGACAGGTAATTTAAAATTACCATGTAATGTGTGTAACTTTTTCAGGTGTAACTAAACAGGTGTGTAGTAACAGGGCTTAGTGAGTGAGGGGATGGAGGAATTTTGTGTGCACCAGGAATATTGAATTGTTCTTTAAAAGTCTCCATTGCATCAGAGATCAAAAGGAACAGCACTGGTAAACTGGCACAGGTCATGGCTGGTATGGTTGGCAGTCAGAAGGAAATGATTGTGCTCCTGCTTTCATCTTTTTGACAGTATAAAGAGATTTTTATTTGCTTTTTAGCAACTTACCAATCATATCCGGGATACCCTGCCAGCCTTCAGAAGCAAACTCCAGAGCCAGCTGCTTTCTATAGAACATGAAGTAGAGGTGTACAAAAACTTCAGACCAGAAGATCCCACCAGAAAAACAAAAGCCCTCTTGCAGTGAGTGTCTTTTGTCTGCTTTTCCACTTCAAATGGGTTTGTTTTGCCTTTTTGCCCCTTCTGTCTGATTGGTTTAAATTTAAACATTAGGATCTTGTTAAGGATTCTTTACACAAGCTCCAAAGATTTCTGTGTTTGATGCTCCAGAACACTTTATTTATTCTACAATTTCAACAGAATTTTCCCTAAATTAATTTTAGTAATCCTAGAAAAGGGAGAAAGCAGAACAAGGAAAAGGCATGAAGATGGGCAGCAGAGATGATCAAAGGTAAAAAAACTGCTTCTGATTGTGTAGACATATTCTTCTGTCTGCCAAAAAGATGACCTCAACAGGAGAGAGACATTGTGTTGGATGTCTGTAAGATGAGGAGGCTGGAAGAAGAATAAAGAATGCTTCTTTTTCTAGTATGAAAACTTGGCTGTCCAAAAGAACCTAGAGATGGCAAGATCAAAATTAATCAAAGATGGTCGTCCTTCATATTTTGTGCACCCAAGACCCAGAGATCTTTGCTGCAGGAGTTGTCAGTAAAAGTTTGTTGTGCTTTCAGAAAACAGCAAGGCAAATTCTTGGGGATTATCATCACCAGTTCTGAACTGATTTTTCACTGCTTAAGTCACTGTCTGGTTTGGGTCTCATCCACAAAATAAGTCTGTCTGATGAGACTTTGATATCAGCCATGGAACAGAGATCACTGTTCATCTGACTTGGAATCAAGTGCAGGTGGAATCCCAGCCCTGTCTTGATTGTGGATTTAGCACCAGGGAGAAAGGACAATGCTGATGTTGTGGACTGAGCACCAGTCAGCAGCTGCTGCTTTGCTGCATCTGCTTCCTTCCTTCCTTGGCCTGTTTCCAGGGTGCTGCATACTCAGTGCTGCCTATCTTTTCACCTGGAGGAGCTGCCATTTTGGCTCTCCCTTTTTTTTTTCCCTTCAGTTGTAGCCCCCTGTGTTTACATGCAAATAAAATTTACCTATTAGAGAGGAAGCCTGTGAAGGAAGAAGTGTAAAATGTACTTAGCTCTTCTCTCTTATATGCCTGTTGTCACATTCCTGCTTTGACTGATTTCTGTGCTTTTCAGCATTCTAATTTCTCTGGGATAGATGGTAAGAACAGTGGATTGTGCTATGTGTATGTTTGGGGCTGGATTCATTCTCTAACTAAAACTTTGGAATTCAGAGGGAGAAGTAATCAGCTGAACTAGAGAGGCTTTCTTGAGCCAGATGAAGACTCTGATTTACTCCTTATTTTTGTAACAACTGTGTCCAAAAGAGTAGACAGTTCCTTGAGACTTTACTCCAGATGCACAGAGGGACATCACCTTTGACTTTTCCATGACTGGGAGAACTCTCCTGTGGGTTTCTCTGAATGTTGCAGAAGTCAAAGCAGAGCCAAGTAAGCTGGAGCTTGTGGTACTTGCACATCACCATGTTAGTACTGGTTCTTGGGCTTGCCTTTTGGCATGGGGAAAAGAAGTTCCTTCCCAATCTCTTCTGAATTTTGCAGCACTGGATTCACACCATGCTATTAGACAAGGGATGCAGGGGGGTGTGGGCAGATAGGGATTCTGTGGATTGGCTCAATCACTTGTACAGATACTTTTGGCAATTGCTAAATATGTTTGAATAGGCAGTACTGAAATAAGAGTTGGTAGTTAATATGCTTAAATTGTTCCAGGTTTTGTTTGTTCTTTTTGCCTTTCCTCCCCTCCTTTGCCATTTAGGATGGTACAGCAGTTTTCAGTGGACTTTGAAAAAAGAATTGAAGGATCAGGAGATCAAGTTGATACGCTGGAACTTTCAGGAGGTGCCAAAATCAATCGTATTTTCCATGAACGTTTTCCCTTTGAACTTGTGAAGGTATTTATCCATCTTGCTGATGTGCTTTATTTTATTTGTATTTATTTTGTGTTTCCTTATGTTCCTACTGATAGTAGTATAGCCAAGCAAAGAGCTGATTGAAAGAATTTGCTTTTAACTGTGGAAAAAATTACATGAAGTTATAATTGAGACATTTGGCTTAATTTCTAGGATTGGACACTGAGACATGCTAAGAATTCTAAAATACAAGAAAGAGAATATAATTATAATCCCATTTCATAGTATTTTCTGTGCTCTCCTATTGTTTTATCACAGATGGCATCTTTCTTTGGTTAAATGGGGCAGGCAAGCAGTTACAGTTGGTCAATTTGACTTGTGTTCAAGTAGCTGGTATCTATTAAAATGAGAGTAATGGAAAATAGCCCTTTAGGTCCCTTCCAACCTAAATCATTCTATGATGGTTTGACCTAGGTAATGACCCTTTCATTTGTGACAACACTGACTTCTCTTTCAGCCAGCTGCTTTCCAAGAAACTCGAAGAAAAGCTTTATAACTTCATAACTGGGACAACTCCTCTCTTAAATTTAGTTGAAAACTGTAGAATGGGAAGGGAAGGATAAACAGATCATAATCACGGAAGTTACACCACTTTGAGAAACCAGCTTTAAAAAAAAAAAAAGTGGAGTCTTCCAAATCCTGTTTCTGGCTTATTCTGTCAACTCTTCAAAATCATTCCAGCTGTTGATATATCTGGAATGGAAGAGTATGTGATTTTCAACAATATTTACTGCTGCCTGTTGCCTTAGATCTAAAACATTTTAAAATACTTATGCATTGTTTGGTGTAATTAGAAATTACTATTTTAACAGCTAAACTTGTTTGTGTTATGGTTGTAGAGGGAGAGGGGATATTTTCTGTTTTGTTGAAACCTTCCCCTGATGTGCTCTTGTGTGCTGCTGTTCCTCTAGATGGAATTCAATGAGAAGGAGCTGAGGAGAGAGATAAGTTACGCCATCAAGAACATACATGGCATCAGGCAAGTGCTCCCATGTTTTTGTGCCTGGTCTCATGGTACAGATGGAATATCTTCCCAAAGCATTGCTTATAAGCTTTGTTGTTCTCAGTTCTGGGAAATGTTTATTGTGTTACTTAAATGTGTGGTGGGTAAGTTCTCAGATGGTTGACCCTGGTAGCTGTGGTGCAGGATTTGAACTTTCCTTGCTTGATTGCTGGAGAGGTCTTGATTTATCATAGTGAAATGATAATTTTGGATGTGCTTTTATAGTTTTGTTTTTTATGTAATTTATCTGGCAAGGTAGACCTTGGAAAAGAGTGTTTAAAAGATAAGCAAGGCCCATTTGTTTAGGACTGGTTCTCTGGAGTAGCTGTTTATAGATTCATTTACTCTGCAGTGACCAACTGGAAATTCTCCACGTTGGACTCTTGAGTAACAAAACCTCATTTTCTGGTGTAAGTGAAAAGTGCAGCCATAGGATTCTGATGGATTTGCTGTGCAAGGGATTGTGCATGGAGTGCTTGCAGCTGCCACTCATCCCTAAGGTCTGATGCACTTCTGCTGAGGCTTTACTGCACTGTAGCAATACTCCTTAGAGTTCTTGCAGTCCTCTTGAAGGAGTTTCATCTTTCAAGCATGTTTCTACTTTTAGTCTTACATTCTGAGTATATTCTTATTCAGAATGATACTTCCTTTGAGAAAGAAGCAAATTTAGCTCTGTGGAAGCCTGTTTTTGTAGGGATTGTTACTCAGCTCTGAAAGTGAAGATTTGAGCAATTTAGTAAAAAAAAAAATCTTCCTTGCCTGATGTTTTTATTACTGTCTTACATATTCTTTTATGTCCACAGAACAGGTTTGTTCACTCCAGATATGGCGTTTGAAGCCATTGTTAAAAAACAGATCGTTAAGCTGAAAGGACCTTGCTTAAAAAGTGTGGATCTGGTGATGCAAGAGTTAATCAACACTGTCAAGAAGTGCACTAAAAAGGTAACTTGCACATAGATCTGGTAATGTAAGTAAAATGCAATGGAATAGTACATAATATAAAGGCTGTCTTGTATTTTATGGTGCTATAAGAGATTTCTGATTCAATGACTCATAGGACTTCCTCAGGTAATTAATTACAACTTCTGCAAAGTGCTCAGAATAATGTAATGATGGAAAAGTTCATTTTTTGATTCCTTTGTTTTTATTCTATGGTGAGAGATGTTTTTGAGTCAAGAGGTGCCCTCAGTTTCCTCCTTAAAACCGTGTTTTCACTTCTTAGCTGTCTGGCTGCTTTTGCAGTCTCACCTGTCCATCTGCCTGTCCCACCATCCCAGGGCAGGGTACCCCACAATAGCAAGCACAGGAGCGATTCTGGGATGTGAGCACAGCTATGATGAGCTTGTTGAGAAATATCCTCTGGCATTTTTTCTGAAAAAAACCCCAATTTTTTATTTCAAAGGAGATATTTCTTAAAACCCGAAAGACAAAAACCATAGAGAAGCAGATTCTCTGGTATGTTTTCTGCAGAGTTTCCAGGTTTTTTTTTCACTTTTGTCAAAGTCTGGAAGACATGTCACCTAAATTAACTGTGCAGATGCTCTTCCCAGTGTTATTTGCCAAATTTAGCACTGTATCTTGCCTTTTTCAATATTGTTATGTAAAGATGTTGCCACAAGGTGGAGCCTTTAAAAACAAGAAGTTTGGAAATCATTTAGAGCACCACTCTGGAATTAGGCCCAGTAGAAGAGAGAGAAACCTCACCCCAGATAGACTGTGTTTCACATGTCCAAAGTGTATTTTCCTCAGTATTCCCTGGAGGAAAGGAACAGCAGCAATCCAAGGGTTTAGGTCTCTGCAGTCCCTGAACAACAGCAAGTTAGGCTTGCTTTGTTTGCAGTGTGCTTCACTTTGAGTCCCAAGTATTTATAATATTTGCTTTCTTCCCTGTTTGTATTCCACTGAAGCCTCTCTGCAGGTGGAAATTTCTATTAATTTTCTGTTTCAGTTGGCAACATATCCAAGGTTGTGTGAGGAAACAGAAAGAATTGTTGCTGGCTACATTCGTGAAAGAGAAGAGAAAACCAAGGACCAGGTGAGAATAAATAGGAGATGTGACAGTTTGGGGAAGAAGAGCTCTTACATCCAAAGTGCAGTAGGACAGTGAAAGATTTCATTTTTTTAAAAATAGGTTGCACATTTTAGAGAAGAAAAAATTTGCTTCTTTACCACTGAGCTTTGATAGGGACTAGAATTGTTACAGAAAGGTTAAATAGTGTTGGCTTGTTCCTGTGCCAGTGTGCCAACGTGTTAGCTGGGCCACTAGAGCTGTTTGTGGGAAATCAATATTGATTAAACAGATGCACACTGGAATAGCTTATTTCTGCTTTGTTTCCAGGTGTTTTTAACATACTCATCCCATGCACCCACACCCTAATTACAGTGAGGCTCACAAACAATTGTACTGGGACCCATGAGAGAGTGAGAAGCTTTCCTTCAAGTACAAAAAAAGCTAAAAACCAAATTAAAATTCAGAGAAATTTGGTTAAAGCATTCATCACTTAGCCAAACATTCCAAATCCAGGAAGCTGCAAATCTGAGATTACATGTGAGAAAATCCAGTGGAAAGGATTTGGAATTATTGTCTGGAGAGTGCAGAGTGTGACAATAGAAATATTTTGGGAAGAGGAGCTCAGCAGAACTCCTAAACTGTTCTGGACTCCTGGCTCCCTAGGCCTGTCCCTGTGCAAGTTAGGGAGCTGTGCAGCACCTCCTGCTGTTTTAATCTGTGCTGCAAGTGTAGTCATAAAATAATTCAGCAAAAAATTATTAGCTGAGCTTGTACTTGCAGGGAGTTGTAGTCAGAACACTGTTATCTCAAAATTTTGGAGAAAATACAAGTTGTTTAAAATAATTGAGTTTTATTTTCCTGTTCTTCATTGTATGCACATACCTGATTATTTCTCAGAACAAGAGCAAAAATGGGCTTTCTGTAAATGCCAAAAATTGACCAAATAGGTTATTGTCACATTCACATCATTATTTATGATGTTAGCAGTTACCCTTCAGAGGTAAGAGATGGAGCAAAAATATAGTGGGGATTAGAGTCTAAGTGGGGCATTTAATATCTTCTGGGAATTGTGAAGAATTTGGGAGTGATGCTGTATTTGAGGAACTGTGCAGAAATAAGGTTGAAGAGATGAAATGCCACCATTTGATAACAATAGGCTCCTTCCTTGCTCCCTCTGCTAAATGGAAGTCTGAAAAGACAGGAGTGAAATGCAGTCTGCTGCATATTCCAGAGCCTCTTGGAGGGTGGGAGGGAATTTTTTGCAGATATCTTAGCAGGTTCTTTGCTGAGTTAGATTGTCAGGGTCAAATCAAATTCTCTGTGGGCTGCTGAAAGACTGACAAATGATAAGTACCCAAATCATTGTGTTGATAGCCCATCTCTTGATCCAGATATGCACATAGAATGGCTGGGCTGGACATTTTCTGGATCAGGACTGGATTATTTATCACTTCTTTGTGTGGTACATAAAGTGTGGAAGTGTATGGATTTTAGGTTTAAGGTTTAGGTTCCTTGCTGCTTGGCTGGAATGCTCCAGATAGGCAGAATTTGCTTAACTTGCAAAATGCAGAGCTGGAATCTATGTGTTCTCTCTGCCTGTGTATGATTGATCTTAATGGACAGGACAAGGGCCAAGAAGGTGAAAAATGAGGTCTGTTAGGAAAAAAAGTAGGAAGAAGGAATAGAACTTCTGTAGTCTAACTTATTAAATAAGCACAGAAACAGAAGCAGTGGAATTTAGAAAATATTGCTTTTGGCTTGAACAATTATGAAAACAATATTCAGTAATGCAGAGACTCAAGAGTTCTGTTTTTTTTCTTCCTTCCTTTTCTTCAATCTCTTTCTTCCACCTTACCCATCCTGTTTTGCTCTCCTGTCTCCCATAATAGATGCTGCTGCTCATTGATATCCAGGTTTCTTATATCAACACCAACCATGAAGACTTCATTGGCTTTGCAAAGTAAGTACATGGAAAATTTGTTGTAAAAACACTGCCAGGCTTTTTTGTTTATTTGCTTGGCATTTTTTTTTTATGCTCAGAACACAATTCCTGAATTATGTCAGTGAAGATCCAGGCTGCAGAGTCCCAGACATGCAGGACCATGCTCTTTCTCAATAGCCACAATGTTGAAGTCTGTCCCAGTTGCAGGGGAGACTTCACCCAGTTCACAAGCCTGGTTTCACTGAAGCTGGAGCTTTATGTCTTAGTCTGGAGTCACACACATTTCAGGCCACAGAAATGGATATTGGTGGTCTTTCCACATTGTTATTGATGCATACTTTGGGAGCTGTGATTCTGTGTGAAACAGTGTTGCTCAGAATAATGGATGTCACTGAATTCTAAGTGTGCCTGCTGTTTGGCTGCAGAGAATAATAGTAGCAGAATGCCCTGCAGGGCCTGGTTTGACGTTCTCCTCGCTTAATTGAAAGGCTGTGAGAATATTTTCCAGAATGTTCTCCCTCAGTTTCCAGCAATTTGTGCCTCAGGGACTTCATACCAACATTTTGACACTAGTAAAAACATAGAAGATGTCTTCACTCTTTGAAGAATAAATGTTCCTTCAGACACATTCATGCTGTATTTGCCATAACAGTGATTGGAATCACAACAGGTTTGGGCTGTGTGAGATGCTGCCAGCAAAGTTGGGCACCACAGTAGTATTTGACTGTGGCCAATTGTAGTTAGCACTGTGAAGCAAGGTGCACATCTTTAGCAGTGTGCCTTGGAGGTTTAAAACATGGAGTTCAGTGAGCTGAGAGGGGAGAAAGCAAAGGCAGGCGCTGTTTATGTGTTTGGTTTGAGCAACTTTCTCTAGAGTTGTTTGTGGGTCCTAGATATTGTTATCAGTTCTCTTGACAAATAACAGGATGTTGTAGGAATGGTGGCTGGCCTTCTAGAGGTCAAGATAACAACCTGCCTGCTATTTACTACTCTTCATCCTTTTCTGACAGGAAAAAGGCTGCTAAAAACACTCCATGTATATTCATGGTGTGTGTTGTGACCTTGGGAAGTCACACAGTCCCACCTCCTGCTCAGAGGAGGGTCCTGCTGAGTTCAGACCAGGCTTCTCAGGATTTTGTCCAATCAGATCTGGAGGATTCCCAAAACTGGAGATTCTCCAGCCTTTCGATGCTAGCCTGTTCCAATGCTTGCCTCACCTCACTATGAAAAGACTTTTCCTTGTGTCAAGTTGAAACTTTCCATATTTTATAGTACTGGATTCTGGAGTTCCAGGTGTATCTGTACCTATTGCATGATGTTTCTCCCCTGGAAAAATTTCCCTCATGGTTGTTAGTCTTGCAGCCTCCATGGTCCTTGCTGCTGTGTCTTTACAATTCCCAAGTTCAATTTCTTGGGAAAGCTGCTTCCTCTTTTGCCAGCTGAGATCTGGAAATCCCAAGTGCTCTATATGGGGCATAAGCAGATAACAAGTGACTCTTGGCTTAAGTTCACTGGTAAGTTTAAGCAAGGGTTTCTCTAGGTTGGAACAGATGGGAAGGAAAGTAACCTTGCTGACTTCTGCTCAATTAAAAGAGAAAATTTGGATAGCAAAGAAGAATTTAAAGTATATTCACTAATGAGACAAATGGAGGAAAATACTAATTTGAAACTATAAGTGTATTATTGTTACAGCAGTTGTGTTAGAACTGGGAAATGAAACAAGTTGTGTAGAACAGGGGCTTCTGCAGTATCCAAACATCCTGGACTACAGATTCCCCACATTCCCTGGTGTTTCCTTTCCTCTGCTGAGCCTTCTAGCCCCTTGTCTCATGCAGCTGCAGTAACAGTGTAAGTCCTGTGAACCATAAGAATGAGAGCACAAAATATTACAAACTACTCTGCAGCACTGCAGGACCTGAGGCAGGTACAGTGCAATGTGAATTGTCTTGAGAGGAATTTTACAAGGCCAGTGTTTAGAACAAATTTGCATAGTTATAAAATGGCGAAATCTTAGAATATTAATGTTTGTCTTGTTTGGCTGAACAAATGGCAAAATTCTGGGCTTGAGTTTGTTTCCAGTTGGTGTAATTCAAGAACAGCTACATGCATCAATCTGCATGAAGAGTAATTTGTGTTAGACATTAAATAGAAGACCAATTGCTGGGCTATTTCTAAAAGGCATGGATTTCTTAGTATGATGTCAATGGTATAATTAACTTTTCTAAGGTGATAAAATTAAGAAAAACAGAAAACTTAGATGTTGCACCAAGGACATGAAGTGTTGTTTGGTCAAAAGGATCAGGATTATCAAGCTAAACACAGTGAGCAGGCACAAGGAATAAATATCCTTGTGGATCTCCCAGACAGCATCTGGACTGGTGGTTTGATGGTGTGGTCCAAAGGGCAGGGTCAGAATTTGGACTAGGGCTGAGTTGGGTGTTTCATCCATTCTTTGGAGCAGCAGCTGGGCAGCAAACAGCAGGACTGGCCACAGGCTCTGATCCAAGCACACCTCTGCCTTCCTCAAAGAGCAGCCTTTGGAGCTGCTGCCATATGGATGCTTCTGTCCTCAGTGAATCAGGGCCTGGTGAAATGGTATCATCTAATCCAAACAAAACTTCCTGTCACCAGTGCTGGTGGCTGAGTAGCCAAGGCCTGCTCTTGGAATGCTTTTCTCCTTCTTTCCAGCAATATTTTAATTTTGTGGCCTAACACAAACTGCCACATAATGCAAATGCTTTTAGAATTAATGGCAACTTGTTTGGTTTTGAGACAGGAGTGTGTTTTGTTTCAGGAACTGGGATTACCAAAGTTCAAGAATTGAGCAAAATATTTTAAATATGGTTTAGTTTCAAATGTACTCTATTCTTACAAGATTTCAGCTTTGAACCAGCTTTATGAAGGCTTCATCCATTGGTTATATTTTATTTACACCCTCAAAGTGCATATAAATATTAGAATAATATCCAAAACAAACTGTCAAGACAAAGCTATTAAGGAGCCTCCAGCAGGGGAGGATTTTGTTGTACTGCTCTAAATAACAGAAATGGCTTGCTTTTTGTCTCTTCTGAGTATTTATAGAGGCTAATGTTTCCAAAGTTACCCACATGAGCCATAATTTCTCTGTGCTTTTAGTAACCTTTACCAATGCAAGAAGGATGTTGTTGCAAAGGGGATGATTGGTAGGAGCTGTCTGCTGTGCATGTCCCTTCTGTCCTTAGCAGGCAAATTTCATCAGGTAGAAATGCACATATATGCAATGATTGTCCTGTGTTTCTTTTGCTGTGTTAATCTAGCTTTCTCTGCTGGGATCAAAAGTAACTATTACTGCTAAAATTATTGCTCAGGAACTGGCTTAGTTCAAGTTTCCTCAGCATAACTCTTTTCCTCTGCTTCCCTCAGTGCCCAACAAAGAAGCAGTCAGGTTAACAAAAGTGCAGTGGGAAATCAGGTAGGCACCTAACAGAGAATGGATAATGGCATGTGCAAGTTAATCCAAGCTGTTTGGTTTTCTTGGCTGCATTTTCTGTTTTAAGTGTATCATTTACCTTTGTTTGCTTCAAACATACATAAATGTGTCCTCATTGCCTTGTTTTGCTGAACTTTTCAAAGCCACCTGACTTCCATTGTTACCATCATTTGCTGTTTAGCATTTCTGCTGCTGCTTGCACTGCTGGTGAGTGTCTTCCCTCCCATGCTGTTCAGTGCCTTGAATCCTCATGTTACACATCGGTGTTTTGTCATTAACTGCAAACTTGTGAATTTCAGAATCCCAAACGCTGGTGAGTACTTGCCTGAGTGTGCTTTGTGTGTTTTGCTACTCCTGATGTGTTCACAGCTCAACTGCAGTGAAGGGCAAGTCAGCAACCAACTGTGGATTTGCCTTTACCTCTTCTGAAACCTTTCAGCTGACACCACGCAGTTGCTGACTATGTACCATAGGCCTTTCTCAAAATAAACAAAGAATAAGTGGTTGATGCTCTCAGGTTAATTAGTATCTTCACTGAGATTCATTAATGAAATTGTTTGTTTCTTTTTGTCATGTAAGAATATGGGATTGATTCTGCAAGGTGCTCGGTGCTCCTGAGCCTGCCTTGCCTCTCTGCTTTTGTGTGACTGAGGGGTTCTCAGTACTTGGCAGGATCAGTCCTCTGCTTAATATGAGATGAAAAGAAGCAAAATGTTACAACTTGGAGAGTTTCTGCTCCCTTTGAGGTTTTTGCAAAGTCTTAAACAGAAAAACAATTGTTATGGAACTAGTATATACTTGAGAATGAAATAAAAAATTTTCATAATAAAAATTACTAAAAATAAGACAATGAAATTTTGTTCAATTACCAGTATTGCATATCTTCCTGATGCTTTCACATGCAATTTGGTCAAACAATGCTCAGGAGGTTTCACCACCTGATCAAAGATTTCAAATGTGACAACTGAGTTTAGATCCAGGCGATAAACCTGAAATTTCAGAAAGTCTCCTATTCTGCTGCTGTTGTAGACAAGAGTTCTTGGCAAGAGTTGTAGTCATCTTTTTGGAGCTAGAAATTCAATCCCTTCCTCTCACCAAGAAATTGCTAGTTATTTTCAGGATATTTCTTAAAATAATCCAGCAACTTCTTGGATGTGATGGTTCCCCACAGCCTGACCAACATGAGTGGCATTTTTGATATAATATATGGTTTGGATTAAAATGAAAAAAAAAAAAAACAAACAAACCCTGGAAGGTCCAAACACTGCAATAGCTTCAAAGAGCAGCCTCTCCCCTCTGAGGAGAGATTTCCTTCTTATCTAGCTGTGCTGGAACATGTGTCAAACACAAGGACTGTCATCACTTTGGAGTGTCCCATAAAAGGAAAAGCAACCAATTATCTGGCTCTTCAAAAATACACAAATAAAATGAATGATTTTTTAATTGAGTGAATGTTTTCTCTCTAAAGAAGTGAAGAAAAAGCTTGGCGTTTTAAATTCAATGTTGAAACTTGGTTACTTGTGGTATAAAGGACTTTGCTGAACCTTTTATTGTAGAGATAATAAACAGATGTTTGTAAGTTGATTGTTTGGAGTTGAAAAGAATGAGAGAATGTTTCTGAAATAAAACTTCATTTTTGCAATTTGCTATTTCAGGGAACCAATCTACCGCCTTCAAGGCAAATTGTACGAGCTAAGTTCTGTAAGCTTTATTGTTGCTTTTTCATTTAGCTTCTCAGAGGGCAAAATTTGTCTCTAACTCATTGGTTTGTCAAATACTTGCTGCTGAACTATTTAATGTTAAGCTGTCTTGTCTGTAACACTACCTCAACAAAGTGTAATTGCAGTTCATCACTTAACTGCTACTAACCTGCTGTTACCAGTCTGAACTAGTAGAACTTAAAATGTTGTAGAAGACTTTGCATCAAATTAATATTTTTGTAGTTTAACAAGTTTCTCAAACTAAAATGACTACTTGGTGTTTATTTTATTATATAACTAGAAAGCAGTTTTTATCTGATGTGAGTGCCTCTATTCATAGTAAACCTCTCTTTGTAAGGTGGGCAAATAAGTTTCTGGTAACCAAAAGGAAACATTAGCTCTGGTGTAAATGAACATGCTGTTTATGGATACAGGTACTGTTCTTGGTGGTTTGTTTATGTCAAGGAATTACTTTGGATAGAAAAATGAGTTTTATGATTGAAAATATTTCAAGCCTTTTTAACATTCTCTTCATAGCACCAGGAGGATCAATATGTCACGGACAGACTCTTTTCTAACCCTTCCACTTCATGAGTAAATAAATATGTGAATGTCTTTAATATTACTAATTAGAATTAATTGTCTAAACTGCAGTTAATTTTATAACAAGTTACAATTGGTTCAGTGATGGTAAGGTGTAAGAAATAAATTTGTATTGTGTGTATTCTTTGGCAATATCTGTGATAAAAATGTACATTTTTTCAGTTTGTTGCCATCATCAAATTCTATTAGTTGTTGTTTTAAAGTAAATTTATGTTCAGTTATGGAAAAAGGCATCACTGACTTTAGCAGCAGTTGAATTGCACCCTGTGGGGAGATCAAGATCACTGAATTTTCCCAAAATAGTGGGATGCTCATTTGCAATAATTTGCTTTTCTTTTTTAGTAGCTTGCTTTGGGCTGGAATGATGCAGATAACTATTAACTATTTCCGTCTATCTTGGAAATAAGACGAGCACAGCAACACCTTATTTTTGGACAATAATGCAAATTCCTCTTAGCATGTTTTTCTCCTTTTTCCTCTACTACTAATTTATCCTCTCACACTTAATCTTTGGCCTTTTTTTTGTTTGTCTTTTCTTTGCTACCGCCTGAGGTTTTGACCTGACTCCACAAAGTTTCTTTTTAAGCCACAGGTTAGTCTGTCTTCTCATTTGCTTGGAGTGCTCTGTGCAATGCTTGGTTTTACACAGCACACTAGCAAGGCTTGGCTCCTGAAAGCTGACCCACTCTTAATTGTGTGTGTGCTGTGTGCTCAGATTTGTTTTGGTGACTAAAATTCAATGTTTTAAACTCCCCTTCATGATAAAACTTAAGAGATGAAAGTGTCATTGCTCCATGAGCCCAATTGGTGTGTGTGAGAATGCAAGACACTGAAATGATAGAGGATTACATATCATTTATAGGAGATTCTGTCCTGTGGCAAAATCTGCTGCTGTGCTTGAAGTACCCCTGTAACTGGAGAAGGGGCTTGATGTGAACTGTGAGTTTCAAGGCACTGTCCATGTGATGTGGAGGTTTAGGTCTGAGGGGTTTGTTTGACCTTCTCTTGAGTATTACACCAACAATCTGATTAATTTCCTGATTATTTTCTTCTGGACACAAGTAGCATTCAGACCCTATCAGCTGGCTTGAGCTGTAGTCTTAATAAGTAACTTTCCTCCTTGTAACCCCCTTTTTTAAAATTTTCTTTTATTCCTGCTTTGTAGCATACTTTGCTGTTTCTTTTCTTCAGATATACTTAAATCCTATTATCTTGCATGACCCAGGAAATAAATGCTTGTAGAATTTTTTTAATCAACCAGATGGAAATGGAGACTTGTGCCATGGTGAGGCGAGGTGGTTATGAAAAATCATGGCAAAACTGTTCTGTTAAGAAATGCCAATATTTCTATGAAAGAGGTGATGCCCATGAGCTAACACATTCAAAAATATTTCAAAATTCAGCAGCATGAAACCTGCTGGTTTTGAGTTTTCACTTTATCAAGTCTAGAGGAGTATTGATGTTCTAAATGGCCTTTATTTATTTTTTAGGTTAATATCCTTTCATGTTTGACTTACCTCAATCTTTGTTAAACAATATTTGGAAGTATATTTCAGTTTTTTACCCCTGAGAGCTTTGCTCCATTAAAGACTAAATTTTTCTTTAAAGCAGACATTTTTTTGGGGACTTCAGCCTCTGTCACAAGTTTTAAGTTATGTAATTCATTGTGCAGTGATTTGTAGGGAAGCAATGTCACAAGATCTTGGTTGTGTTCAGTATCAGAGCAGATCTGATCAGTTTATGCTGGGCCATTTGGCAAATTGCATTGAAACACTGTAGTAGGTTTCCCCTCTAATATGTTCCAGCTTCTGTAGTGTGAGGATCTTCATGACTGAATCCAAAGAACCAACAGCTTCTAAGGATGCCTCCCTGAGTAGTTTTTGTGATTTTTATTCTCTCAATGTGCTTTCTGTTCAGTAGCACATGTTGTAATGGCAGTGGTTGGAAGATGGAGTGGTGCTGGGGCTTGTGTTCTGTGCTCAGAATTATTTCAGTGGAGTTACACAACACAACTTTAATGGTGTTACATTTGCAATTGCTGCTGCTTGTGTTCTTGTGGGAGTGTCCAGTCTCATGATTCTCACTCTTGTGTTTCTCTCTGCCCAGTTTCATGTATCTCACCTATCTTGAAGTCATCCCTCAAATACTTCTTTAGAGAATCAGAAAATGTCCCATTTCTTTCAATATATTTCTTTTACAAATGCCTTATTTGATTTAATGCAATTAAAGTCATGCAGCAACACATAAATTGTGCTTATTGTGTCAAATCCTGCTTTCCTGTTTATCCATGAAGTGGTGGAGGGTAAGAACAACAAATATGATTTGGGTTTTGTGCAGCTGAACTATGAGAGTGATTTCCTTCTGGCTTGTTCGTGTGCATTCAGGGGCTCTGAGTTTCATTTTTCAGTCACCCAGATTATCAGGATCCTGAAGGAAGGAACTGTGTCATCTCTTGTTCATCCTGTGCATGGAGTCCAGCTGCCTCTCAGAATATTGTCTGCAGTAGCTTCTGGCTGTGCCCATGTTTTTCACCTTCCTGAGGTTCATAACTTATGTCACTAACATCCGCTCAGCCCAGAGTGACATTTAGAAATAGGATAGGAAAGAGTGAAATGGATCTCTCTGATACAACCCAATGAGAAAAAGAACTATAATGAAACACAGTGCTTTCATTTTTCAAGCTGAAGTGCTATAAAAAATAGCTGACTCAACAGTTTAAAAAAACTCCAGAATAATAATTCTCCTTCAGAGTTTTTTGAACTTCAAAAGTGTCTTTGAAAATCTTACCATATTATTGCCTGTGGAAGAACACTTCTAAAATGACTGTTTGTTTTTTTTTGTTTGAGAATTTAGCCAGAGTCTAAGGTGTCATTCAACTTCTCTGGAAAGTGAAACTATGTTCCTTAATCTCACTTTTTCTTGCATTACACCTTGATCCAACATCTCCTTTATGTCCAACACTGATGCTGAGTCTTCTGTAAGTGTAGCTTTTTGGAGTTAACAGAATGTGCCTGAGAAATGGGCAAATTCCATGAAAAGGACATGAGGCTTAGCACACTAAGCTCATCTTCTCCCTATTGGTGGCCCCTGGAACAGCTTCCTCGTATTTTAGATTGCTGTGACCTGTTGTAGAGTCCAGGATATTTTAGAGAACACAAAACTCTGTTTCCCCAGAGAGGTATAGATAAACAGGTCTAGAAATTTCACGTGAAAAGCACACACCCAAATATTGCTGTAGGTTTGTGTCCTGCTCTTCTGCAGGGTTGTGGGGGAATGACAGCTGGATCTAATCCTCAGCACACAGGATTTTGGAGGAAACTACTGGCAAATTCCTTCCTTTATGAACCAGTGACCAGAGATTGTCCTAGCAAGTCAGCTTGCTTCTGTCCACACCCCATGATGGTTGCACATTTGTGGGGAGAGGTGTTGGACTGGAGCATGACACAATTCCTACCTTAGAAGTATTGAAACCTTCAGTGCTTCTTAAGTGGTTTGTATAGTTTAGTATTTAAAATGTTGGCTTGGTCTGTTCTGAGACCTCTACCACAAATGCCTTCTTGTGAAATTGATAAAATGGGACTCTTATGAAGCTGTTACAGAGCCTGTGGTAATGGTGACGGAGAGGATGGAATAAGCAGAGAGCTCCTCCCCTTCCCTTTGAAGTGCTCATCACCTGTAAGGTTCTTGAACCTGCTGCTTAGGTGTTCCTGCCTGGTGTGCTTCTGGAAACCACCTCCTTATCTTCACTGCAGTCTGTGTTCAAATCTTTTACCTTCCCTGAGATATCTCTCCAAAACATTTTTCTCCAAACCAGGTGCTGGCCAGGCTGCCTGGGCTTCCTGTGTGTGGATATGAGCTTTGCATGGAGCAACATGGCATTTTCAATTGTAGACAATGTGGTTCAACAGCATCCTCTTTCCCAGCCTCTTTAGAGCATGGGAAGATGTGCTGTGAAGGATTTAGTCTGCTGCACAAATGCAGCTCCCCTTGCTGCAGAACTCAGTTCGAGTGAATGCAGAACCTTCATTTTGTTGATTTTTCTCTAATATTTTTTCCTTATAGTTCAGTGCAGAAAGATAAAATAGAATTAGTTGGGTTCCACAATTTGGCCCTGTGGCAGCTGCCTGAAGGCCAGTACACAGGCTGTATATACATGTTACTTGTTTCCTGTTAAAAACTTACTTCAATAAACATCACAAATAAAATGAGGATTTGATGGGTAATCAAGTTATTATCAATGTTTCCCTTGCACTTAGGCAAGCATTCCATGTGTGTCTGCACTCACTGATGCTCCTCTCCACTTAAGTTCCCCCCTCAAAAACCACAAATATTAAAAGTCCTGACCCACTTTTGTAGAAACCTTTGTGGAACAGGTTATTCCATCTAATCTACTTGTGCCATACTCTTGAGTCTCTTTACAGGAATCATGTCCTGTTCTCTCCTCCCTTACTGTGGCTTCAGAACCAAATCAGTGCTCTCTTAAAGATTTTCTTACAGGCTAATAATTTACAACCTGTTTTTGGATCTTCAGGACTTTTCTTACACTGCTGGCGTGGTTGGTAGTAAATGGGAAAACACATTTATCTTCCTTGAAATGAAACTGATTCTCTTGGATTATGTGCATTTCCATACCATTTCCTGCTTTTCAGGTGCAACTTCTTTGGTTTAATTATCAAATAGAATGCAGCCCCTCACCCTGTGCAGAATCAAAGCTGTTTTTTTAGGAGCTTACATGAACATCCAGGCTAAATAGGAGTGAATTCTGGTTCTGAAACTTCTTTAGATGGGAAATAAATGGTGAGCCATGTTCTTCTTTGGTGAGTTGTTGGTATTGGAGTTACTGGTCTTGTGAAGCCCTGTGAGAGCAATGTTGGTCTCATAGAGTTCTTTAAATACAGGAGGAAACTCATGTTTGATCACACAAGTCAATGCCTGTGGAGATTGTTGAGAGGATTCTGAAGGGCTTCTCTGAGCACTTTTTTGTCTCAGTATTCCATTGGCAACTGAAGGGTGTTGCTGTGGAGAGAAAGAGAAGAGCTGAGGTTCCTTCATCTGTGATTAGGAGAGTTCTGTGGTCTTGTTCAGAGCATGATAGGAAGGAATGTTTGCTTTCTTATTTATATTGGAAAACAGTGGCTGTTCCAATAAAATTGAAAGTTTCCATCTCATCTGTAAATGAATTTTCATGGTTATTCTCTTCTGCTGGGGAGTTGTCTAATTTCTCTTTCTATGTGCATGCTGTAGCCTCCTGATGTTAGTATTTATAGGTGTGTTCACATCTGTTCTTTCATCTTTGGCTTGTATCTATGTTATAAATTTTTTCTTTACCTTTTTTACCCCCCAGTTTTTGTTGTTGCTTAAGGTTTTTTCCCTTCTTTTCTTTTTCTCTTCTATCGTATGAGAAGAAAATGGCTCTCACATGCCTCTCCTTACAGCTTCCTGCTGTAATTTAACTTAACTTTAGAAGACTTCTCCCTTTGTCACTCCATGCAACCACTTCTGAAAATCCTCAGTGTGTGTCAGAAGCCACTCACTTTACCAGAATTTAGGTGCTTTTCCTGGTATCCACCTTTAGGGATGACCTTAACAATTAGACCAGAACAGTGTAGTCAGAGATTAATTGTGTAGGCTTTCAGAATATGTTCATGTACAGCAAATAAATATCTTCAGGCTTACCTGATCCTTATCACACTCACACTTGCTGAAGTACAACATTCTCATAGTCTGGCTTCTCTCTTTCTCCAACCTTCAGACTGAAAATGTAATACTCACTTCATTACTATTGGTTTTTTTTTTTGGAATGCTGCAAAAACTCTTGACTTTCCCGGAGACTGAAAAAATGCACCTGTTTGTGTTTCATTTAGCAAATCTTGATTTAAAAGAATGAATGCAGCAGCAGAACTGTGTCAAGTGAGAAATGAACTAAACTTGTACCTGACTGCACCTTGCATAGGTCATCCGGAAAGGCTGGCTCACCATCAACAACATTGGCATCATGAAAGGAGGCTCCAAGGAATACTGGTTTGTCCTGACTGCAGAGAGCTTGTCCTGGTATAAAGATGATGAGGTAAGGAATGAAGAACTTTTTTTCTATTGGGGAAAACCCCAGTATTAATACAGTATTCTGATATCAACTTGAAAAATTTAATCAGTTTGTGTAAACACGAATGGAAAGATTGTTTTAAGGTTTTAGCTGTGTTGTTTAAATTTCTGGTTTGATTCATAGAGAATGCTGACTGCCTAAGACTTCTGTTGAAATGCTGACAACAAACACAGGGTGTGGTGTGGAGTATTTTTGTTTGTTTTACTTTTTTCTTCCCTTCCTGTGATTTCCACACATTTTTTTAAAAAAGGAAAGAAAAAAATCTCAGGATGTTTTGAAATACTCTGCTTATTGTCCTATCCTTGCTTTGGTTACTCTTGAACATCTACTGCAAGTTGATCATAAATTGTCTGGGTAAATTTACTTCTGAAAGTAACTACAGCAATTGATTTAATAAAAACAGCTGTTCTCTGGTCTTGTGTTCTGAGAGGATGCAAAGCCCATCTGCAGAGTTCTCTAGCTGGTTGGTGTGGATTTTCAAATTTGACAAAAAATGCATGTTCTTGGGTGATCAGTAAATCTGAGGTGAGTGATATGGAAATGAAGAAAAGGACATCCTCATTGCTCACTTTGAATATATTGTCTGGCAGCTTGTCTGTTCTGTTTGATGACTTTTTCAACTGTGTGTGTAATGATACATTTTATCCAAGACTCCAGCAGTATGTTGAAGGTTAAAACAGGAATATGTGTGCCATCAGATTTATGGTAAAGCCTTTGTGAGTTTTTTAAGGTTTGTGTTGGTTTTTGTAGAAAAATGGGGCTGCATTTTAAAAAACCTATTATTTCCTATTTGGGTTGTGCCCCAAAACAATTTGAAATGTTTTTAGTAAGAAATTATTGATTTTTAGGGTGAACTAGTTCAATGGATGGAAGAAGCACAGGTAAAGAGAAAGCCTTAAATGAGCTCCAAAGCATCACTTAGTATTTTCATCTTATCCTAAGTAAAAATCAAAACACTTGTTGATTCCAACAAAGCAGGTTGATGGGGACTGTGCACATTCATATTCTCTTTAAGCTGCCATGGTGTTTTACTGCAGTGAATTCTCTGGAAGCCCTGGGGAGAGGGCCTGCAGGGCATAAGGCAGAGTGCTGCAAATCTAGGATGTGGAACTCCTTCAGTAATGCTGCTGGGGGTGGGAACTGTGCTCAGAAATAAATTTTTCCCCCATTCTGTAGCCATTTCAGGATACACCTTAAGGCAGAGGGACAATTTAGGTTAATCTTGAGGATTTTGCCCCTTGCCCTTTTATTTAAGTTTTAAAAGGATTAAAATTTAGTGTAACAGGAAAACCAGTGCATGTCAGGCAGAGGGGAGGAGCCAAGGGACAGGTGTCAGGAGAGGAAATTTTACTCTCAGATTGCTGAAATAGAATTTGAAAAAAATGCAAAAGTGGCTTTATGATTTTGATAATTTGAAACTGTTGGTTTTTGTGATCTGCCTTTAAGTTACACGAACCAGCTTTCTTAGGTAAGATACAAACAAGTGTAGCTAAAACAAGCAATGTGACAAAATTAACACACTTGCTGTGTTTTGTCTCAGGCAGTTGGAGGTGCATCCGAGATGAGGTAGTTTTGGTGTTGTTTTTTTAGATCTGATTTTTGTTTAGTGGGAAATATAAAAACTCCTGAAAATCCCAACAGTACATCTTGTGCTGTGCAACTTTAAAAATAAATAGTTTTGACAGTCTACTGGGGAGAGTCACCTGGGAAGCTCATGAAAGTACTCAGAAAGAAGTGGCCACTGTGTGATTATTTTAAGATAATGTCTCTTAATTGCCAAACAATTATGTTTTGAGAGTCATGAAAATGTCAGTAGTTAATTCAGGCCATGGGAGATCACTTAGGGATTTCTTAGAGTGGTAAGAAAATAATTGCATGGCATAATAGCAGAGTACTATTCCATGCTCTGCTGGTGAAAGAAGTTGCTCCTTAAATACAGATTAGCTGTATAATTTCATTATTCTCTCTTGGAAAAGAGTTTATAAAGTTATGATTTTTTTGGGTTTGTTTGTTTGCTTGGTTGGTTTTGTTTTGGTTTTTTGGGGTTTTTTGTTGTTTTTTTTGTTGTACTGGACCTTCTCAGTAAGACTGAAAAATCAGCCAGGCTCCTCACCTGCTGGCTGCAGTGGCTGTGTGGGGGTGTTTCCCCCCAGTGAGATGTGGTGATGTGAGAAGTGATCCTTGTGTTTGTGTGTCTGCCTGTGCCCAGTGAGGTTGTGGGGAGTTCAGAGCCCCCAGCCCTGCTCAGGCTGCCTTTCCCTGGTTCAGAGCCCCAGCCCTGCTCAGGCTGCCTTTCCCTGGTTCAGAGCCCCAGTCCCTGCTCAGGCTGCCTTTCCCTGCTCAGGCTCCCTTTCCCTGGTTCAGGCTGCCTTTCCCTGGTTCAGAGCCCCCAGTCCTGTTCAGGCTGCCTTTCCCTGGTTCAGAGCCCCCCAGTCCCTGCTCAGGCTGCCTTTCCCTGGTTCAGAGCCCCCCAGTCCCTGCTCAGGCTGCCTTTCCCTGGTTCAGAGCCCCCCAGTCCCTGTTCAGGCTGCCTTTCCCTGGTTCAGAGCCCCCAGCCCTGCTCAGGCTGCCTTTCCCTGGTTCAGGCTGCCTTTCCCTGGTTCAGAGCCCCCCGCCCCTGCTCAGGCTCCCTTTCCCTGGTTCAGAGCCCCCAGTCCCTGCTCAGGCTGCCTTTCCCGGGTTCAGAGCCCCAGCCCTGCTCAGGCTCCCTTTCCCTGGTTCAGGCTCCCTTTCCCTGGTTCAGGCTGCCTTTCCCTGGTTCAGAGCCCCAGTCCCTGCTCAGGCTGCCTTGCCCTGGTCAGGCTCCCTTTCCCTGGTTCAGGCTGCCTTTCCCTGGTTCAGAGCCCCCAGCCCTGCTCAGGCTCCCTTTCTCTAGTTCAGGCTGCCTTTCCCTGGTTCAGAGCCCCAGCCCTGCTCAAGCTGCCTTTCCCTGGCCTGGAGCCTTTCCCTGGCAGCTGGGGAAGGTGCAGGATCAGCTCTCACCTGGCCTCCCTTGGCATGCTCAGGAGTTTGTGCCCTCTGTGCCTGTAGCAGTGCTGCAGCAGCTGTGTACCAGAGAGCTCTGACAATGTGCTTTGCAAAGCTCCAGTGCCTGCTGGGGCCTCCAGGGCTGTGTACCCCCTCTAGTGTAAGCTGAGCCTGGTTTTTAGTCTGGAATTTGCTCTGAGAGCAAAATCACTAGTGGTGGCTCGCTAGTGCCGTTAGAAGGATGTAAATTCCTTTGTGAGGTGCAGCTTTATAAGGGATAAATCCACAGTACAGTGTATTTAGAAGCGAGTTGCTATGGCGAAATATTTCAGATTTTCCTGTATGCTATCAATATTAGAAAAGAAACTATTGCTTTCTTCACACAGTTTTGTTTGTCAAACATACACCAGGATTTTATTCCTGATGAGAGGGATTCTGTGCCTAAGAATGCAATTTTAGACTTGCAGTTCTGGAAATGCCAGGTTGGCATTTGAACAGTGTGCTTAGAGAAGTTACAGTATTGGTTCTGGGAGAACTGACATGGATTAGTTTCTGATCCTGCATGCATTTGCTTCTGTTTGTAACTTTGCTGTGTGAGCAGTACCCTGACTTTGTGCTTTTGTACTTAAAAACCAAGCAAGGAAAGTGCTGTGTATTGGCTTTGAGGCTGCTGTAAACAAGTGCAAGATCAGCACACTCTGTGACCTCACACATACAGATTTATTTCATAGAATATTCCATGAAGCATTATAAGGCATACCTACACAGACAAATTATTTAATCTGAGCATTTTAGCTCTCTGTTGTTGCTGTATTGTTAAGTAGCAGTCATTAAGGTTCATTTGAGAGTCTACCTGCAAATCTGAAGTTTGTGAATTAGCCACTTGTGCATTAGGATGAAATGGACTTTGGGAATGTGGAATGTCATTCTAGCTTGTGAATAAAAAACCTCATCACTGTAAAGATATGGATGCCATTTGTGAAGTGGTGTAACATTGTTACAGTGCACGGTCATAGAATGTGATTTTATTATTCTTTCTAAAGCATCCAGAGATTTCACTGGCATTATTGCTGTGCAAAGGATGCCAAACTGGACAGTAGAATTAGAATTCCTAAAAATGTGAAGTTTACATTGATGGGGAAAAAAAATCTCCTGTAGTCTTATTTCCAAAGAAAATATTTCCATTCTGTTTCAATAGTAAATTATATTATTGTCAACATCCAGTGTTGGATGCAGTTTGTATTATAATTTCACAGTTTGTTCCCAATTGTAAAATGATGTGAGATTCGAGAGCGAATTTATAAAAACCAGGGAGGAGGTGAGAGAGTGGAAAGGGGAGAAGTTCCTCTAAGGTCTGACATTGTGTGTGTTTACAGAATGAGCTTGCCACACAACAAGCTGCTCTTGGCTTCTGTCAGGGAGTTTTATCCAGCAGGAATCAAGCGATGCCTGGGAAGCAAACGGGAGGACAGAACATCCGGAGGTGCCGCAGGGCCGCGGGTAAATCCAACTTACTGTTAGAGAGCTCCTGAACACAGCTAGGAAAAGAGTACTATAGGAAGCACAGTAAGAATTTCAGCAGTGGGTTTTATTGTACTTGACAGGCAGTGCTGCTGTGACTCTGGGCTTGGTGACTGAGCGGCCGTGTGAGGTCCAGAGGACTCCTGGCTGGAGCTGGTGCTGCAGACGCTCTGGGCTCTCAGAGCAGGCTCCCACTGGTGGCTGTCCCTCAGGCTGGGTTGTCATGCGACTGCCTGTCTGTGCCTGCTGTACAGGTGAGAGGATGTTCTGCACAGCAAGTGTAGACAGGCAGACACATGACAACTCCGTCCAGCCAGTCCCTTGGAGCCATCGCCGCTGCTGTGCAACGCTTTGTGCCAGTCCACTTTGGGGGGCGTTTGGTGGGGGGAACACACATAACAGAATTCAACTTTAAAACATTGGCAGCTGCAGAACAAGAAGAGAACTTGATTTTATTCAGAAAAGAAGCTTGGTAC